CATTAAAATATGCATTTTCATACAGATTACGCCATTGTCATTCTTTTTCTCTTAGCATTTATAAACATTCTCGACAGGCAGACCAGACAGGCTTGACAGATATTTTGATTGTTTTGACATTATTACAGATAAGCTGTTATTTACGAATATTTACTATAAGCATTCATTCCTAACTTTCTGAGTAGATGTACCTCAGAGGTACATCTGCACTCCGCTCCATTGCAATCGCTTCTCTGCAATCACCTTCAGTACCTACTTCTCCTCCTCCTCCTCAAATGATCTTCTTCATGTCATCCTTAGACCACTGCAGAATCTATCACTTCCCATTCAGGTTCCACTGAACAGCCCGCCTAGCGTATGATGCCACTTGAATGTCGTCTGTGTGTATTTTCAATTCTTGGAAAAAATTCAAGGGAATCATATGAAGGGATATCCTGGACCGACGTGAAGAACCTAGAAGACCTGGATTTCGCGCGTGGATGATTTATGTTTGATGTCACACAAAATCGAAGACTTACAAGCCGAAGCCGACAAACTGGTCAAAGAAGCAGCCAGTGAAGACAGGACTCCAGGTGAACATAGACAAGACGGAGGTTATGAAAATAACCAACCAACAACAACAACAGCAACATCCAGCGCCAATCACCATCAACGGGAGGGATTTGAAAGAGGGTACTTCATTCACTCACTTATCTAGGGAGCATTGTCTCAACTACAGGCAGTCGGAACGGACGAGGATGTCAAATCGAGCGAGAATCGGGAAGGCGAGAAACACATCATCATCAACCTGAAACCAATCTGGAAATCTTTGTCACTCAACTCAGCATCAACAACAAAATTCGGATTTTCAATACAAACGTCAAGTCAGTCAGTTCTTCTATACGGATGGATCAGAAACTTGGCCAGTGTGTCACAAAGAATATTTCCAACAGCCTGTTGCAGACCTTCATCAACAACTGTCTTCTGGTTCTATACTGAAGATCAGATGGCCGGAAAGAAGAACCAACAAGAAACTATGGGAAGAAACAAAACAAGAACCAATCGCCCAACAAATATGCAGGAGAAAGTGGAGATGGATTGGACACTCGCTGAGGAGGCCGTTGGGTGACATCGCGCGTCAGGCCATAGCTCGAGTGGAACCCGAAAGGGAAGCGGCGAGTGGGACGTCGGTACAAGGGTGACATGGAGGAGATCGTGTGAAGAGGAATTGAAACAGTATGGATTAACATGGATGCAGGTGAAAAGTACAGCAGAAGACAGAAGCAAGTGGAGACGTGCAGTTGTTCCACTAGGAACCCAAGGGAACAATAATAATAATAATATGAGGCGTTAACTTCATTGATGCCACATGAGACCTATTTACTGAATAGTCAGTTTTATTAAAGTATTATTCGTTGATAATGATAGAATTACTATTGTTTCTTTATCACATATCTATATAGTGCAGTGAGTAAGTAATAGTAGTTTGTTAAATATACGTACGTCATTCAACGAGAAAAAGATGTTTAACAATACCACTATGTTCATTCAATAAAATTCCCCTGAATAAATATTACTTATTCCGCTAAATTAATTTATAGAAAGTTAATTGCAGAAGAAATGCCAGGTGTTACTAATTGACCTAATGAATGTATAAAATATGCCAGAAGGTTAGTGACATCACCGGAGGCATAAATTCTGTCCTCATTTATTTGTACAAATAAGTGTGCGTCATAACTTCAGTGAATCCTACTGGTTTAATGAAATTATAATAAGCAGAATAACAGCTGATATTCTCAAAGGAGAAAAAAATTAATAATACTATGTAAAGGTCATCATGTGCTAAGTCTATGTTGCTCACTGTATTTTTTCCCCGGTGTCAGTAAAACCTTCCCATGGATAGATATGTTCGTATATCTATTCGGTGGAAGTCATTTAGAAATGTATCAATTTCTAGGGAATGTACATAGTACTAATGTTTTCACTGGTTACTTACTGTATTCATACACACACACACACACTGTGCGCCCAGAATTAACGCCTGCTACTTAAAGAATAGCTTAGTCTATTATCTACTTGGAGTCGAAGCAGAATGAGAAACGATGAGTTTGACATTCTAAGGTGACATGGAGGAAATCGAGTGAGAAGTAAGTAAAAAGCTTGTAGGAAATGCAGAGAACAGAGTGAAGTGGAAATGTGCTGCTGAAACCCTATTTTCCGTTCAGAACTAAAGGGAAGGCCAAAGGGGATGTCATGCCTTATATACAAAGAAATCATAGACATATGAATGAAGTAGTGAAATGTGAATCACTTCCAAATATTCTGTGGTAGTTGTTTAAATTAATTAGAACTCAGTTATCCGATCATACACTTATTGTATTATGGCTGACAACACTGCCCAACTGCCAAGACTAAAGTAAGTTTAGCGAGATTCACACTCGGCACCCATTAGTTGGAAATCGATCATTTAAGGCAATGAACCAACCATATCTCCAAGGTTTGCAGGATCAAATAAATCGAAAGTAGAAATGAATATCCAACAATAACAGTGAGTGAATGTCAATCTAAATTATGAAATACCTACACCGTATCTGGATGATTTCCTGTTGGTCAAGAGGTTCAAAGATTTTACATTCTTCAAGTATCGCTTTGCAGGGATTTCATTAATTTCCAAGTTAGATAACTAAGTGGCTTCATTTAGGAAACTACTTAAAGTGAGAGAGTACCGGACAGCTCTGTCGTCCTATTTCTGAACTCTTCAGCAGTACGCACCTATCATTTCACCAGAGATTGAACCCAGGACCTTCAGGTTACAAGGCGAGTTGGTGCCATCGGTGAATACACTTTCTCAAATCCCACTTAGTTGACCTCACTGGTCACTAGTACTTTTTAGAAATGAGTACTAGGGAAGATCAAAAAGAGATGGGAAGTCTTTTCGTTGAGATTTGAAATTACTTGGTAAAGCTTTTTAACTCTCATTCACTAGGCATATTTCGGCCGCACATCACTGACATAGCCTTCGCTTTGAATCAAACTATGCTTTTATAATGTTATCAGTTAACTAATTTGATTGATTGTTAATATTTGAAGAAAAGGAAAGGAGAAGAATAAGAGGAACTGTCTAACTGAGTTTTCAGCGTAGAACTTTACACAAAATTGCATCAATTCGAATTTCTATACTTCAATAAAGTACACATAAATGTACAGAAAAGTAAATACGCATAGGAACTTACAGTAAACAGAAATATACATGAGAAAGAATAAATACATGGTGAATAATTAGGAATGGAACGCTAGCCATGCATTTGATCCGGGTTCAGCTCCCAGCCAATGCCCTGACAGACCTCGCTTAACCGGCAGTAATCTTTTTTTATTCCTTTACGTTCCAAATGGAACATAGGGCTTCAAGCTAGAGGCTTGAAGTTTCAGTAGCAGTGGTGTTTATTTTTACGGGATGGGGTTACTAGCCTCGTGCCCACCCAACCTTCCCTCTTTGCCAGCTTTATTTCTGGCTTACGCGAGGTAAAGGAGTGCGTCAGTGGCCGGGAGTCGAACCCCGGACCATGTGTATGGTCGGCGAGCGTACTAACCGCTGTGCCACCGACGCACAGCAGTAATCTTAGTAATAAAAATACTTTAGCTACTGAAAATTCATGTACTGACATTTAAAGCCCTGTGTTCTACTCGAAACTCAAATGAATATGGGACTTTCATAAACATCAAGAATGATTTCAAGGCAAATTGACAGAAATTGGTAAAATTTCATGTCAACAACCTGGAGATATATTCAGATCCAAAAAAATTTGGATACGCTACATAGATGATACATTCGTGATAATCAAAAGAGAAAACTTAGACAATACCCACAACATAATAAACAACACCTTCAACGACATCAAATTCACAAGAGAAGAAGAATATGAAAACAAAATCCCATTTTTAGACGTCTTAATCAAACGAACAACTACAGGAAAATTAGAGACCCAAGTATACAGAAAACCAACACACACGGATCAAATACTCAATTACAACAGTAACAACCCAACATCACAAAAAATTAGCTGCATACGTACATTGTTCAAGAGAGCCAGGACTCATTGCAGCACTCCCGCCTTGAGGAAAATTGAAGAAAATCATCTTATGGACGTCTTCCAAAGAAATGGATACCCACGAAACTTCATCAAAAGACATCTACTCCCAGCTCAACCAACCAAATCAAAGGCCACCAGCGAAAACACAAAGAAAGTCGTCCTACCATATATAAAAGATATCTCCGAAATCACTGCAAGACTATTCAAACCTTTTGGAATCGATGTCGCTCATAAACCAACAAAGTCACTACACTCAGTTCTATGTAAACCAAAGGACTCAACGGCAAAAGAAGACAAAACTAACGTCATCTACAAGATAAGTTGCAACGACTGCGACAAACATTACATTGGTCAAAGTGGACGCCCTCTTCGTCTTCGCATTCACGAACACAAACTAGCTGTCAAAAGACACGACATACACTCCCTCATATCACTACACGCAGACAACCACGGGCACCAATTCGACTGGGACAATGTTCAAATCTTAGACAAAGGGAACTGCAAAAATGCCAGAGAATTCCTAGAGGCCTGGTATTCAAATGAATCAGCAATCAATAGACACATAGAGATTGACAAAATATACCAATCCATACGAAGAAATTCACACAAAAAGAAAGTCAAACTTCAGGTCAAGGAAACAGTCAACACCAAAACAAGTGAACTAGAAAGTGAGAAGTCACACAAAAACAACCAATCACGTTCAAGGTTACTAGAAGAGATGACTAATAAACTCATAGAGAATTCTAAAAGCTCACTTCACATCGAAGTATGCACTGAAGATGTTGCTCAGTAGAGCAATGAAAGCTTCGCAACCAAACCATCCAGCTCAGAGAACACAACCACACCAAAAAGATTAAAATCCTAATTCATTGAAGAACACAAATGATATTACTATATCATATAAAGATGACAAATGACAGCAAAACTTACCCTGAATGGTCCACCACGTCCATTGTCTACTTCCAATTGGAATTTTATCGATTCCTCATGATTATCATCATTATTATTGTTATTTGATAAAAGTTTCATATCACCATTCACAGTTATACTTCTATGCAATGTGTTTACTGAATACGATCCATTCATGTTTGGTGTCGATGGAACTGACAGATTACACTGATTCGATGATAGAGATAAAGGAATATTCTGATGTTGATAATTATAATATTGGCCAGATTGTTGAAAATATTGATCTCTGTTAGCATCTACTCCTGATGAATTTGTCATTAAGGCATAGGCTGATATCGACTCGGGAATATGATAATTTTGTCTTGATCGTACATTTGTTACAGGTGTTGCCAAGCCACTAGTCGACAATGAATGACATAAATCTTTACAACATACAGATGTATTTGAATTCCAGTGACCGCTGGGATTCTCTCGTAAATTTTCAAAACTGTTTAAAGTATGTTTAACTTCATTAGAAGCAGATGTAATGTTTAAGAGACAGGAGGAGTTCGAGGTGGAGGATCGCTTTATGTGGTATTGTTCAACTTCATCATTTTTTAACGGAGTTGATGTATTCATTATATCCCATACTAGTTGAATACTGTTACTTTCAATTAAACATTGAGATAGAATTATTTTTGGTATAGGAGGAGCTAGATTAGGAATGAGAAGACAAACAGGAAAGTACTATTTAATATATACTAGCCGAAAGCAGAGACTATGCTTTTTTGTTGTTCCTTTACGTTCCTAGTGGACATAGGACTTCAGGTTAGAGGCTTGAAGTTTCAGTAGCAGTGCTGGTTGTTTTTACGGGATGAGGTTGCTAGCCTCATGCCCCCAACCTTCCCTCTTTACCAGTCTTGTTGCTGGCTTAGCGAGGTAAAGGAGTGCGTCAGTGGCCGGGGATCGAACCCCAGACCACATGCGTGGTTGGCGAGCATTCTACAGCTATTATGCTTACATAACAGATAGTGCAGTGAACAGGTAGAAAACTTTACATTAATTGTCTTAGTGATTTGAATCAATAAATCACTGATTTGCTATAGGTGTGACAAACAGAGAAAGTATTATCCAACGTTCTGACTGACCGACAAAAGCTTTGTGTACTTATAGAAATGTACCGGTGGCTATTATTTCCTCGGCTTTCCACACCGTAGAAGTTGATTTCTTTATGGAGTACCTGAAATAGAAGGAGTTGCGCTACCGTCTAGCCCAATGGAAAACTGCTTAAGGCTGGCCACACATGACCTATTTGAAGGGATTTCTGGACTTGTAAGCGTATTAAGATCTTATCCTCAGCTAAAGTTAAGTTGAGACGTGTAATTCTCGAGGCAACCTCTTCTAACCCCCTTTCCTCACAGGGAAAAAGGGTAGCATAGCTAACTTGTTGGTCATTTGAGGGAAACATCTTACTTTTGTTATATCCCTACTCACCAGCAGTATGACTTCGCCGACATGCTTCTAACATAGTGTAAATGACTTACACCAGACGACATTTCCGGACCTTCAGGAATAGTATTTCTAGCCAGTGTAGCTCATTGGGTGATTGTGATATACAGTCCTGACCACCCCATTAAGCTAGCAACTTTTGGTCGTTCTCATTTGTGGCAAACACCTAGAATATCTCCCCCCCAGAGGAAGATCAACACGTATGTGTCTATAGGATTGTTCAGAATAAAAAAGTTACTTGGAGATAAATTTAATCGACATCGTTTTTTTATATATGTCCAAACAAAGTTCACTTTTAACAGTTTGAAAAAAATTAGGGCATTAGGTATATGATATTCATTATAATAAAGGTTTTTTTGTATTTCCCAATGAATGAAAAACAAAACGATATTGTTTTTACTGACGTTTCGCTATTTAATGCCTGCAATAGCTTCATCAAAGTATTATTAAACCAGAATTTACAAAATCTCAACTCCATCATCCTTCCTTAGCATGGGGTCATTTTTCCGTTATCAAGTTGGCCAATTGGTAAAGATGACAAAACCAGGTGTAGATTGTTGGATTTGATAAGTGTATAAAATTATAAAAGCAGCGTGTTCACATAATGAAATTGCTTATCACACACGTGTTGATTTCGTCACTTCATGGGGGAGGGAGGTGTTGTAACCAGGTCAAATTCTGTTTTAGTCCATCATTCCTATTCAGACAATTTGGATTCCACTTGATATGAAGTGCTTCTGACTATATCAGACGTTCTTTGAGATTTCTGAAATGTTTCTGGATTATTTCAATGTTGTCAAAATCAGTTTTGTGGCCTGATTCTATAGCGTGTAGACAGCCTAGAGCTGATGATTATTCAAGCTTTCCTAGTTCCACTGGATTTATTTCTCAGTGGTCGAACAGATGCTCTACGGTGTTCATTTCTTCTGATTACTTGATTTCTCTCTGACGATGTTTGTCCAATGTATATCGCATCACATTCCAAGAAATTTATTTAACAGGCATTTTTCGATTGAGAATCTTGAGGGATTTGGTCTCTAATATGGACGAGATTGGTTTGCAGTGTATCTGATTTTTTGAAGAAAACTCTAATGTCGAGCTTATTGAGTACTCTTTTGATATCGTCTCCGCTCTATACGGAATGACAGCTGTTGAAGCCCATGTCTTCGGAATACGTTTTCGGCCACATTTAATTCCATTGTTGATTTTGTTGATGAAGTTCGTTGAGTAGTTGTTTTGCCTGAGAGTCTCAGTAGTTTTTGATATTTCTTCTTTTTCTTTCTCATCCGTTATCAGAGAGTGTGATTATCTAAGAAGACTTGAAACAACTGATACCTTGGAGCTGATGGGGTGTGATGATCCGAAGTCTACATATTAGTTTGAGTGGGTTTTATTCCAGAGTATAGATATACTAAAATGTGCGTTTTCCCTCCTCTAAACTACGCAGTCTACAAATGGTAGTTCACCGACATCTGATTCTGCTTCCGAAGTAAACTGGATTCTGGGAGATAGATTGTTTATTTTCTCCAAGAATGAACTGTGTAGATCTCGTTTTAGCACTACAAAAGTATCATCTACATATCTTAACCATATTTTAGGAGTGAGTATGCTTGAAAAGATGTTATCGTCAAATCACTCAGTAAATAAGTTCTCTGTTGGTGTGTTTAAGGTTTATGCATGTATCTATTTAACAAAGACAATTAATCGAATGTATATTCAGAAAGTCACGAAAATACAGAATAATTATGAACAATTATGTTGACCTTGTTTTTAAAGTGGTTATTTAATGAGATGCCGTGAGATGAATAGGCATCAATTAATTTAAAGAAAACTGGGGAAATCTTAATAAACCTGAAAAGATTTTTAACGGTTTGAAAAAATTTGGGCATTGGGTATATGATATTCATTATAATAAAGGTTTTTGTATTTCCCAATGAATGAAAAACAAAACGGTATTGTTTTTACTGACGTTTCGCTATTTAATGCTAATAGCTTTATCAAAGTATTATTATTATTTAGTAATACTTTGATAAAGCTATTAGCATTAAATAGCGAAACGTCAGTAAAAACAATATCGTTTTGTTTTTCATTCATTGGGAAATACAAAAACCTTTATTATACTGAAAAGATTTTGTTTATCCAATAAAAGTACTAAGACATGTGTGGAGAGTGAGCTTTAGTGAACACTTATAACATATATTTTTTTTCAACTTTATCTGATTTAGGCTAAAACATTATTCAAAGGTGAAATGGCTTGAAATATTAAGTATTTTAGCATTATGTCACGTAATAGACGACGCAGGGAGAGAGAGAGAGAGAAGGGGGAGGGAGAGGTGACCAACTTACACCGTGATGAAGTGAAGAACATTAATGGATGCAGATTTTGGAATTCTTCAGGATGCATATTTTAACTTCCGTTTAGCTTGAAAACTGTTTAAGTATAAATTAAAAGGTTAATTCGCTGATTTCACCCAAAAAAAGGAATTACGCAAAACTTATTTCCCAGAAGAGTTTTGAAGCTTACTGCTTGTCAGTTAAATTCGAGCATACAGTGACGAAGTGTCAGAAGTCACCATATCACCTAGCTTAGTATTCACTAAGTAGTCAACGATCCTACGCATTTGCTTCTTCCAACTCAAAATGTTAGACGCGATCACGTTAACCAGTTAACCACTTACTGTTTGAAAATGAAAACTAGCCATTGTTACAAGAAGTATTAGGATTATGATGCAAGACTTGAAAAAGTCCTTCGTTAAAATATTTCAGATGGCACCTAATCTTGCTAGCCATTCTTCAAATGTTCTAGAATAAGTCTGTCTGCAAAATATGAAGCAGTGTATTACTGAAAAAATACACATGAAAGAAATACTGGGAGGGGGGCGGCTTGAAAGCAATTGTTACATCATGACAGATTTTGAAAATAAAAACATAAACAGACTTTTTTACTGGTAGTTTGTGTCAAAAGTTGGAGTTGAAATGGTACATTACCATTCTCTTATTTATTCTTCTGAGTTCTGAAGGGAACATAGGCCTTCGACGAAACATTTCCACTGCACTCGATTTCTACTGTCGCTTTCAACTGGCTCCATGACTGCCTAAAAGCTTTCATTTACCTACCATATCATCTCCTCCATGTCATTCTTGAACATTCAACCTATCGCTTCCCATCCGAGTTCCTCATGAAGGCCTGGTGTGTGTGTGTGGTGTCACTCAGTGATCTATGATTCTCATAAAAAGATGAGTGTCGTATTTTGGCTTTCATATTCATACTAAGTTATTTTTATGTCTATGATGCATTTATGCTATCCATTTGGTGCTTAGTTATCTATTAATTGGTGACTAAAGCGATTCAAAAATCGTGATCCAAAGGAAGTTACGCAATAAAAAAACCACCTGTATAGCTAACAGTTAAGAATGGCTTAATGGAACTGCTACGCATTTAGTATATTTTGCCCACCATAGAAATTTTATAAAGACAGTCTGTGAATGTTAATAACTAAAATCAAATTTGTGATAATAGAAATTCTTTTGCAATAGTCTACATCTCTCTCCATAAAAACTAATTAAAGATTTTCATCGCCGATGCTTTAATACAAATATACCGAAGGTATTTTATATGGTTGATTCAGTTAAAATTATGCAGTAGTGTAGTTTTTTATTCCTTCACGTTTCGAGTGGAACATAGGGCTTCAGGCTAAAGCTTTGAAGCTTCTATAGCAGTGATTTTATTCTTACGGGATAAGGTTGCTAGCCTCACGTACAACGTTTCCTCTTTATCGGGCTAACTACCAGCTTATCGAGGTTAGGGAGTGCGCCGGCAGAGGATCAAACCCCAGACCACATACGTGGTTGGCGAGCGTTCTACCGCTAAACCATCGACACACAGTGATGTATATTTGGACAAGAAATGTCAAAATATTGTCGAGGAACAAACAGAATGCGTTGAAAGTACGGGAATATGTGTCGTTACAACGGTTACTCCAAGCTTGTGTCACTAGCCCTCTACAAATATTTCTCAGGAAGACCGATCTGGTGAGTCGTTTACCCTTGTAAAATATAAATATTTTTCATTCCTTCACGTTCCTTGTGGAAAATAGGAATTCAAGCTTGAGTTTTGAAAATTCGACAGCGTTAGTGTTTCTTTCACATGTCGAGGTTGCCAGTCTCATGTCCAACATTCTTCTTTATCTGTCTTACTACTGGCTGCTAAAATAGGCGAGGTTCAGCAGTTCGTCAACCGGGAATCAAGCCTCGAACCACGTGTGTGGTTGGCAGACATTCTTCGATTGAATTAGGGACACAAAGATATGTATATATGCAATGCTTACCTATTTAACTGTAATGCCTAGAAAATGATTTTTTCTCAGTTGCATTAAGCAATACTGTATAATTAACAGGTATTATGCACAACGAATGTCCCCCAAATCTTTATCAACCTCATTCAACAGCTGTATGACAGTGACACATGCCAGGTGATCCACAACGGAAAACTCAGCGAGGCTTTTGAAGTGAATACAAGAGTAAGACAAGGGTACCTATTATCACCGATGATATTTTTAATTGTGGTGGACTGATTTATGTGTCAGACAGTGAGTGGGGAGCGAGGAGACAGGAATACGCTAGACCAACGATAAGAAGACTCTAGAAGATCTGGATTTCGCCGATGATTTATGTCTAATGTTACGCAAACTCAAAGATTAGCAGGCGAAAAGCAATAAACTGGCTGAAGAGGCGAGGTGATGAAGATAATCAACCAACAGCAGTAACAGCCAGCACCAGTCAACATCAGCAGAAGAGACTTGACAGAGGTTACTTCCTTCACTTATCTGGGAAGCACAGTTTCAACCACACGTCGGAGCCATGGATGAGAATGTCAATACTAGTCAGAATTGGAAAGGCGAGGTACACATTCATCTGTCTGAAATCGTCTTGGAAATATTCTGTACTCCACAGCATGAAGAACAAGATTAGAATTTTCAACACAAATGTGAAGTTAATTCGCCTATATGGGATAGAAACTTGGCGTGTCACGAAGAGAATTTCAGACAGGTTGCAGACAGCTGCCTTTGCTGGTTCCATATTGAAGATCAAATGATCCAAAAGAATTAGCAACAAGAAACTATGGGAACAAACCAACCAAGGACCTATCATTCAACAAATATGTAGGAGAAAGTGGAAATGGATTGGGCATACATTGAGGAGGCCGCCAAGGGACATCGCACGCCAGGCCGTCGATTGGAATCCTATTGGGAAGCGACGAGTGGGTCGTCCTAGGATGACATGGCGGAGATCGTGTGAGAAAGAGATGCGAGACTTTGGTCAATCGTGGAGCTATCTGAAGAGGAGCTCAGAGAATAGGACAAAATGGAGATGTGTTCTTGAAGCCCTATATTTCACATGGCACATGGAACAATAATAGTGATAAACAAATGTGAGTTGGATTACACTTCAACATATATATATATATATATATATATCAAATTATTCCGGGAGCTCATGTATGTTTTACTCTCGCTTGTCAAGCAAGTTATGGCTGACAGTTTTCTCATTGAAAAGAATTCTTAAATACATTAATAATTCATACATAACACTATGATTTATAATGACAGAAACCTATAACTAGAATATCTATTCCTAAAATGATTTTTCATCGATGGAAAACTATCACTACTATTATTGCTGTTACTGTCATTGTCAGTAGTATTAGTAGTTCGTATTTCAAGATACCCTTTAAACACAGTATAAATAAATAATGCATTCTTCAGATATCAATTTCTGGTGTTTTGTTAGACGAACATTTTTATTTTGTAGTGTATAAAGTAGTCTATTCAGCACATGTAAATGAGAGAATAGTGTGGTAAAAATAAAGTATCGTTACTCTACAATGATAAATAAATATGAATAAAGCAAGAACAACAGTTTTTGCAGAATAAAATGGTACCATCATTGCTTATTTCGTTGGCTTCTCATTAGTTCACCTGCTCACAGCCCAAAGACATTATTAAGTATTTCTACAGAAACAGTTTTAACATACTTGCACAGAGTTAATTTCAAACAAAAATCAACCAATCAGTATATGCATGCAATAATATATATATATATATTGTAATAATAAACACTTTATCCCGAACAATAATCATCATACACAATGGAAACTTTCAGAATTACGTATTCAGATAGAGAGATGAAAATATCCAGTTACCAGGGCAATGAAAGACTGATAACCGCCTTGTTCAGAACGCACAAATCAAGTTTCAGGCACGTGATGGAGATTGCTTCGACAAACTTTAGGAGAATTTAACTCTTTTTCTTATTGATAATTTTGAACAGAAAGAAGCGCATACCTCCGATTTTCTGAACAGGCACCAAAAAGTCTATGTCTAAAGGGAAGAAATGCTGTAAATAGTGCCATCGCCAGGCATCTCCTTGACACGGATCATGAGGTGGACGTCGCAAAATCGTTCAAAATTATCAACCGGCAAAAGAGTTCAATTCTCCTCAAGTTTTCTGAAGCAATCTCCATCGAGAGCCTGAAACCTGATTTATGCTTTCAGAAAAAAGCAGTTATCGGTCCTTCCTTGCCCTGGTAACTGGGTGTTTTCATCCTCTCTTTCATCTGAATACGTAATGCCGAAAGTTTCCATTGTGTTTGATTATTATTGTTCGGAATAGTGTTTAATATAATTACTGTATGCATATATTGATTGATTTTTGTTTTAAATAAACTCTGAGCAAGTATGTTAAAATTGTTTCTGTAGATATACTTAATAATGTCTTTGGCCTGTAAGCAGCTGAGCTGATGAGAAGCCAATGAGATAAGCAATGATGGTACCATTTTATTCTGCAAAAACCACTGTTGTTCTTGCTTTATTCCAATTCATCAAGGGGAATAAATGTATGAAATCAATAAATAAATACTTATTTCATTTAAATACAATATTACATAAAGAGAGAAATGCTTACGATAAATTTCATTTAAGGAGATCGCTTGTATCCTTTCAAGTAAATCTCTTGTATCACCAATACGTAGTTGAAAATCACCAAGGCATTGTTCACGGCAAAGCTGAGTTTCACGCATAATTTGATTTTCTGTATTCATCAAGCGATGTTTGAGTGAAGGAGCAACCTTTAAATACAAGAAATTCTTATTGATATCATACTAAACATTGTAATTTATTTTTGGTAGGAATATATCTTTTTAAAAAACTTCATATATCCGAGACCCTTGATAATTTTAATTTAAGTGAATTCATGGGCTAACGTTGGTTAGGAAGTCAATGAAAACCAGGGAGTAAATGGAAAGCTACTGTTTCGTCTTAGTTTGAGACTCTTTAGCAGTGCGCTCTTATGGCCTTCAGGTTATTGGGCGAGTGTATTCACCAGTCAGCCACTTGGATGGAATCAAATGAGTCACCACCAACCAATCTCATCAAATAATATTTGTCCTCACACATATTCGTGGTCCCCATAAACTACTTGTTACTTTTGAGGACAAGCCGACTTCCTCTCCAAATGCTCTCATTTGGCCACGCGTTCATGGCTAAGTCCCATTCACTGCTTTCATGTAGCAACGGTGTTCCTCAGAAAAGTGAAAAAGCGAACGCTAACATCTGGCGTTCACAATTGGACCGGTGAACATCCGGGTCCAAACCTATGATGCACATAGCCTCTAAAATCCGAGAGGAAACACTGATGTGTAAACCCGTTGTGGTCAACGAGAACCATGATTAAGCAGCTTCTGACATTGATCCTCAGCCTTGTGGATAAAACTTCAAACCAAGGCTCATGGGAAGCCCCTTAGGACAATCACCTGTTTTTATCTGGGCATCCGGGTAATCTTTCAGCCCTAGAACAAATTATGAAATTTTGTGTGACGCATTTTTTGGTGCCTGTATTGTACCAAGTTTGAGTTTCAATAATAATAATAGTAATAATAATAATAATAATGTCAATTCCTGATCTAACTTAAAATCAGTCCGATTTTTGCAAGTCAACACCATGAATGAGTATGGTTCATAACCTGGAATTTGAAATATCTTTTCCAGGAACTGACTTCACTCACTGCCAATTCATAGGAAAAGATATTTACTTCAACAGAAATAATTTTTTTTCCTCCACGTTCCCCAGTGGAACATAGGGCTTCAAGCTAGTGGCTTGAAGTTCCTGTAGCAGTGTTTATTTTACAGGATGGGGTTGCTAGTCTCATGCCCAACCTTTCTGGCTTAGAGAGGCAAAGGAGTGCGTCGGCCGGGGATCGAACCCCAGACCGTGTGCATGGTCGGCGAGCGTCCTAACAGCTATGCCACCGACGCACGAACAACAGAAATAATAATAACGGATAATAGAGTGATCGAAGTAATAACTGAATAACATTAAATTCCAGTTTATGTAGAGAATGACTGATCTATAAGCATGCTAGCAATCCTTTTTGGTTGAAAGAAAATAATAATAATAACAGTAATGACCAAACTCATCAACAAATCTTTAATAGTTATCTTGTTGTATTAGGAAGATTGAGGCGGGAATAGTAAACACTTGAGCACTGAGATATAAGAATACATTGCAGATTGAATTTTAAAGAAATCAGTCCACCTACTCGTATGCTACAATGTACGCTTATTCACATCTTTGAAGCTCTTACGGTCATTCGATACAGACACACACACACACTCGCATACACTCAAACAAATAAACACTTCATTGGAAGCTAATCATTAATGTGAGTATGCTTCCACTGAAAGTAAAACAAAACTATCCCCATTTGACTAATAGGGGCGTGGGGGTGAGGTGGTGTAGTGTGGAAGAGTCCTCGAATATTTGTTTAGAAAACAAACACCGAAAGTAACCAACTACTTGATTTCGACTGAATAAGTTTCAAGTTGTCTTCTGTTATTCATGCAGTTATCTCATTATAAGGTACTTAAAGTGTGTGTGTATATATATGTGTGTGGGTTTAGTGCATAGTGTGTAAACATAAATCTTCTCAGGGGATATGAAGACGAAAAGTATTCATGTGTTATTTTTCTATCACAAAATGTTTAAGATTTCTTGTTTCTTGTCTTATTCATTTTTCACTTTATAATATCATACAGCAGAAAATGAAAGCAATATAAATAGGCCTGATGTGTAGCTTGTAATTTGAATCCTTAATTTTCTACACAGGGTTCTATTGGGAAGCCGTGACCAGTAGGGTACAGTAAGTTGAAGGTGAGGCAGTAACTTATCGAAGAAGACATTGCGGAGTGGTCGTGCTATGTCATGAATTGGTAGAAGTTAGAATTCGTGAGTTGTTCATTGGATCGGGTCCCAGTGGTTTAGTGGTCTACGAGTTCGCCTTGTAACCAAAAGGCTCTGGGTTCGAACCCCGTTGATGGGTGCAAACTTCTGAAGAGTCTCGCAGAGCTAGGATGAAACAGCTATCCAGTAATCTCTGCAGGTTTTCTAATGTTTCTCTAACCGACGTCAGCACATGACGAAATCCTCCAAATGATCAAACATAAAACCCTACAAACCAATACTTGAAGAGACCATCATATAATCATATAAATTATGCAAATTAGTAAGTACTACAATCGACTGTTGTCACTAATTTTTTTCCTGTTATATTCAGTTTTATTCTCCACTGAACGCTTAACAGATCAGTAGTTGGGGGAACATAAAAAAGGCAAATGAAATGTCACTTCTAATGTTAAAAAGTGTTAAAATTAGTAGCATACTAGATAAGTTTATTTCACATAACATACAGTGAGATAGTGTTAATAAATGGGTGACATTTCAGGTACACTTTATGCCTAATAATCATGTAATCAGTATATTGACGCCACTCGATTACTTGTTTTATGTAGTCTTACTCCCTTCTGTTTATTTCATTGTAGTTTTCTATATGTTTGGGACAGATGTTGCGTTATTTTTATTGTATGTACTTGGTGGTGATTCGATGAACAAAGATTCGGTGGTTACCTTTTTTCTCCCTTTCGATTATATTTAATTTTCTAATACTTTTGATCTATCCGAATGCATAGCATTGGTTAAGGTTTCTTCTGAATGGCTCAATTTAACAGGATCATTCGTTATAAATACGTAGATTCCTTTGCGTTGAGAGTGAAGTTTCAGTAGCAGTAGTTTTGTTTTTACCAGGTGGGATCACTGGTCTCACACCCATCCTACCTCCTGTCTTTACTGGACCTACTGCAGGTTAGGCGGAGTTTAGCAATACGTCATTTGGGAGTTGAACCTCAACCACGTGTGTGGTTGGCGAGCATTCTGCAACTGAACCGCTAACACACCTGTCAGTCATTATAGATGTAGCTAAATCCCTAGATCCTGCTATGGGCAGTCCACTGAGTCCTCTTTTACAGGTGTATCCATGTCCAACCTTGAAAGAACAAAGTTGGAGCATGCAATCCATGAAGCAACTTTTACTGTCGATATGTCGATGACACATTTGTAGTGGGCAACAATGAAAGTCATGCTTTCCACTTACTCAGATTATTCTATGACGCACATACTCATATTGAATTTGCAGTGGAACATGAAAATGATGGAAAGTTCCACTTCCTCGACATTGCCATGCAACGTCTAGAAGATGTTATTCTTCAGAAGTCAATTTATCGAAAGCCTACATGGAAAGGACAATACTTACATTTTTATGGCTTTTGTCCAAATAGCTTTAAACGCGGACTATTCAAAACTCTGCACTATAGAGCGACGAGAATATGCTCTATAGAGAAACTAGAGGAACAGTTTGCGTTTCTTGAAAAGATGTTGAAGAGCAATAGTTACCCTCAAAGATTCATTCACAAGTATGGAAGATCTCAAGTCTCAAATGTGAAACAAATCACAGTGGAGAAAAAGTCAATCAACATTCAACTTGATTATAAAGGTGAAAACGTTGCAGCAAGGGTCAACAGAAGGCTGAGTACATCACTAACCATAGCCTATCATGCAGCTAAGCTGGTTCCCGTCTATCGAACAACTTCCTCTTTGGTGCAATCAAAAATCGATAAATATCCTTCTCATGTGAACTCTAACTGTATATACAAATTTACATGTATCTGCAGGAGCAGTTACATTAGGAGAACAGAAGGAAAGGCATACCTACTATTTTCTGAACGTGTACCAAAAAGCCTATGTCTCAAGGGGAAAAAAAGCTTGAAACAGTGCCATCGCCAGGCATCACCTTGACACGGGTCATGAGGTGGACGTCGCAAAATCGTTCAAAATTATCAATAGGCAGAAGAGTTCAATTCTCCTCAAGTTTACTGAAGCCATCTCCATCAAACGCCTGAAACCTGATTTGTGCGTTCAGAAAAAAAAGCGGTTATCAGTCTTTCATTGCCCTGGTAACTGGATATTTTCATCTTTCTTTCATCTGAATGCGAAATGCTGAAAAGTTTCCATTGTGTATGATTATTATTGTTTGGGATAAAGTGTTTATTATTATCATATTTAAATATATTACTGCATGCATATATTGATTGACTGGTTTTTGTTTAAAAATGAACTCTGTGCAAGTATGTTAAAACTGTTTCTGTAGGTTTATTTAATAGTGACTTTGGCCTGTAAGCAGCTGAGCTGATGAGAAGCCAACGAGATAAGCAATGATGGTGCCATTTTATTCTTCAGAAAGTGTTGTTCTTGCTTTATTCTAATTCATCAAGGGGAATAAATGTATGAAATTCCTATCTATTAATCTGACTATCACAGTCATTAAGTGGTATCTGATTAATTACAATATTTCTCCATTGAATCCTTAAGCGAATAAAGTTTGTGTCTGAATAAACTGTTTGATTTAAATGCCACCTTAACTCTATCGGTATTCATATGCCAGATATCATTGGTGAAGTTATGTCACTGATCTGAACAGTAGATCAGAGATAAGCAAGACACGGGGACATGATCCACAGTCACTTGTTCATTTATATACTAAGTTTCTGAATGAATAATCACAGTCCATCACAACTTTCTCCCCTCTCTGAAAATAGATTTGCCTTCAGTGTTGTACCACCATATACAAGGGCTGATCTCTTCTCAACTTACATTAGTAGAATTCTTAAAATCTTTTTATTCAGCTATTATGCTAATTATTAGAAACATGCACATTAAACAAAGATTACTTTGTGGTATTTAAGCATATCAACACGCAAAAGAAAACTGTAATATTCGGTAAGTCAAAAAAATTATTTCTTTGTCCCAAGCAGTATGTACTAAATATACTGAAATGATGGTTGAAGAGTTGTACTGGTTGAAATTATTGATTTCTCCCCTTCACTCGAATATGGTCAACAATATACATCTGAGTAACAGAATTCGGTCTGCATCAACACGGAGGAGTAGACGCATAACACTGGTTACACCATAGTTAGGAAACAGGTATAGCACTATCTTGGGGACGTAGAGTCCGAACACTGATGGATTTTTGGTGGATAGGTGTTGATTGGGAATAGCGGTGACTTTTTAAGCATCGCTATTGTGTACTGCTGGTTAAAACCATCTTTGTATCCAACATTATTGCAATCCTGGCACTTGTGTTGCCCTAAGCGGACAAGATTTAACGAAACACCGAACACCACAATGGCAGAAGGATGATGGAGGTGTTATCTCTGGGGGTCGATTGGTATTGAGTGAGTAACTAAGACGATGGACGTTCGAGGTAGGACTAGGGAGTGTGGGGCCAACGTCAAAGAATTCTACAACCTCATCGCCAAAAGATATTATGACGTCACAACATTTATGTGTCATAGTAACACAGATTGAAAAAGGGACGCCGAGTTGAATACAGACGTAGTAATCACGAGCATCGTTTGACTATGCCAACAACACTGTACGTCAGTTACCTGTTTCCTTCAGCCCGCTCTACTTAAGCTTCCATACACAACGATGTGAGCCGAAAGGTATATTTCAGTATCAGCCACAATATATATGTGGAATGTAGAAATCAGAAAATCACCAAGGATAAGTTAGTTAGTCCATAATGACGATCAATAAAATAGTAGGCGTTACTTTGTGTAGGCCAATTCTGATTGGTTGATTTCCAGACCAGACCAGATATCGACCACTATATATCACCAATAAAGGATAATTCATTATTTATCCAACAGTAAGTCCATTGTCAGCCCGAATAGATCAGTAGTAACATCTATGACTGGAGTACTGGATTAAGGCTGGATTGAATCCCAGAGAGGAGTTGAATTACTTCATGGCTACAGATATGCCTTGCTAACAAATGCTAACAAGAAAGAAACCTAAGTCTAGGGTTACCTCCAACCAAGTAACATCAATATTACACTTAAACAGATATAAATAAATCTTTTAAAGATAGAGAGACAGAGAGAAAACAAAAGGCAAAAAGCAAATTTACTTGAATAAAAGCTGATGGTTCACGTTCTTTAATCATTTCCACACCGAAATAAATTAAACTAGTTGTTGATGTTAGTCTATTTCCAGCTTGATTAGTTTGTTCACGTAGAAAATGGCGTCTTTGTTGTACTTCTGAGTGTAGCTTCTCAATAAGATTTACACGTTTTTCTTGCAGTGCATTAATGACAGTATCAATTTCATGATTTATCAATGCTTCTGTAGTTGAAATATTTTTCTGATTTGCAAAAAAAAAGAAGAGAGAAGAGATAATGGCAGAAATGTAAAGAGAAAGGGAGAAACGCATATAATAATGAAATATTGTTATATAATAGATTTTAATGTCGGAAAATTGTAGTCAGATATGTTTAAACTTTTATTTTTTTTCTCCAAACATTCTTTCCTACAGACATAGACATCTAGGTGTATAGATATGCCTATTTTTTTTCGCCTAATCTCTTTTGACTGCATAAATATTGTCAACTTAAAAAGGTATAAAATTTCAAATTTAACGATCGAATAGGCGCATTTTTATGTATTCTATGTATTCTATCTATAATAAGCTTTACTTTACCCCATCCCCACCCCCGACCCTCTATGTCTATGTATAATTTCAGAAGTCATTTAACTATTGTCATTCGATGAAGGCAAATACTTGGCAAAGATAGATCACTGTCAAAGTAGTATTGTACACCTTACCTTATACGAAAGCAGATATTAGTCTTGAACTGAACTGAAATTAAATCATTACAAATTATAGTATTGATTGAAATTCCATAGCGTTTAAATCAGTGCCATTATTATGTGAGACTTTTCAATATTATAATAGTTAAACATTTACGGATTAAGACTGTGAAAGAAGGAGTGGTTGGACAAATTTCTTTAACTGTGTACAGACATCTGATTTTTCTATTTCGATGGTCAAAGCTTCAGTAATAGAGATGAGTTGGGTAGTTAATGACATAGATAACTTTTTTGATTGCACACTAGTCAGTAACTAGTGTAATGTGTCTAGTCCTATCTTCGGTGCAGACTGAATTCTAATAGTCATGCTTGCAATGTGGCCACCATGCTAGGTGGCTCGCCATTACGGTGCACTATAAATTGTTGGAGGATCTGGACTTCGCCGATGATATATGTCTGATTTCCCACAAACTGGAAGATATGCAAGTGAAAAGCAACAAGTTGGCAAAAGAAGCATCAAAGATAGGAGGGAATTCAGGTGAATATAGAGAAAACAGAGATGATGAAGATTCCTGGACAAGAACAACAACAACAGACAACGATCAGCATAAATGGGAGGAACCTGAAAGAAACAACCTCTTTTACCTACCGACATGGAAAGCATCGTCTCAACTACAGGCGGACGGAACTGACGAGGATATCAAGGCAAGGATCGGAAAATCAAGGAGAGCTTTCATTTCTTTCAAGTCTTTATGGAGATCAACAGCACTCAGCATCAAAAATAAGATCCGGATTTTCAAATCCAATGTGAAGTCGGTGCTACTTACTATACGGATCAGAGACTTGCACTGCGCGTCATAAAGGGCATCTCAAACAAACTACAGACCTTCATTAACAGTTGTCTTCGCTCAATGCTACTCAAGATCAGATGGTCGGACAGAAAAGATCAGCAACAGAGATCTCTGGCAATGAGCGAACCAACCAAGAACCGATTGTGAAACAAATAGGCAAGAAGAAATGGAAATGGATTGGCTGGCCATACTCTAAGGAAACCATCAAGTGACATCACTAGACAAGCCATTGCTCGAGTGGAACCCGAAAGGGAAGCGGCAAGTTGGTCGTCAGTGCAAGGGTGACTTGGAGGAGGTCATGTGAAGAGGAGATGAAAACGTGTGGGCAGACTTGGAGCCAGGTGAAAACTCTAGCAGAGGACCGAACGCAATGGAGACGCATGGCTGCAGCCCTATGTTACTTTAGGAATTAAAGGAAACAATAATAAATAATAATTTAAATTGTTGGTATTAGGTGGTTGGAGGCAATCAGCCACACGAAGCTTTGACTTGACCTACGTTTCGTGCTAGTTGGCACTCATCAGCAAGGCATATCTGCAACCTTGAAGGAGTCAGTAACTAGTGTGCAATAGATAGATAACTTTATAGGAAGAGGCCATAGATCAGTCCACCTGCTCCTGTGGAGCTAGGTATATCGATCGTTTGATGCGGGACTTATCCAAAAGGAGACAAGAATACTATCCTCCATGGTTACGAAGTGGTGAAAGTGGGACTATTAGAAGTGCAATAACTGACACATCTGGTCGATACTGGTGACCTCCTTTTTTTTCTACAGCCTTTTTTGTTTTACAGTTTTCTGCAAGGTGAAAAAAAATAACCTGACAAAGTTATTACATTCCAAACTAATCTGGATTGCTGAAGATTTCAAATATTACTTGAAGTGGATAAGATACAAATTTTCAAAGATTATTAACTAAGCAAAATTTGATGTTAACATTTTAAAAGTAGGTCAAGTGTTGTCAGAAAAATTAAAAAGTTCAATGATGGTAACAATGAAGGAGACGAACATTATATGATTTGACAAGGTTTGAACAATGAACTACCGCTTTTATCCACCTATATATGTGCTTCTACGCTATCATATTCTCTTGTGGAGCTGATTGCATTGGATATCGTAAGAATTTTCTCCAGAAACGTGTAACTGAACATTAGCTGGTCTGGTTGATGAAAGCAGAGCATTGGATGACGAAGTCTTCTATGTGTGAATACCTTCTTGAGTTAGGTCATTTAGCCTTAGGCGATTTATGCTTTCAAGTTATCTACAGGACTAGATTTAGTCACTTTGATAGTTTACGTCTTCTCCATTTATATATCGTCAAAGTTTTATTTATGCATGGACAAAAACCTAAGTTATGTATTCAAAAAAGTTTTATTATACTCCTTTCTTTACCTTAGTCATAGTAATCTTTTAAAAAAATTTCATTTTCTATAGTGTTGGTTTGTAAGGGTTAGTTTTGTTTTTACGAGTTGATCACGGATTGATATCAGTTACAGAACAATTGAAAACCAGATGTTTCGCCAGCCTAGTTTGGGAATCATTGGAAGTACGCATCCACCAACGGAGTTCGAAGCCAGTGAGAAGTCGTGACCAGTGAGGTCCATCCAGTCAAGTGTGAGGATGGATGACCCGCTGATGACATTGGTTGGTGGTCACGCTAAATGCTCTGGTAGAATTGGTAGAAGTTAGAATTCATGGAGTGGCCACTGAATTGGGTCTCAGTGGCTGAATGGTATACGAGCCCACTAGCCTTGTAACCAGAAGGTCTTTAGATCGAGGTCCGGTGGTGGGTGAGTACTGTCGATGATTCCCAAACTAGGCTGACGAAACACCTGTCCAGTACTCCTACCTCGTTTTCAATGGTTCTCTAACTGACATCAATCCGTGATCAACTCGTAAAAAAATTTCATTGTTTGAATTCATTTCTTTTTCGCCTTCTTTATTTTTATCTTCACCACACATATAAAATCTTAATACTGATTCACTTGTTGAATAATTTTTTTTAAATTTGTAGTTCATCCACTTCAACCCCCCCTAAAAATTATGTTAATTATTTTAATATTATCCAGTTTCTTTGGTCTAATATGAAGCATTTTTTGTAACTGAATTAAATGAAGTCATCGGTGAAGTCTCAGCAGAAACACATTCACTCAGTGGAGACTGTAGGTACATCTGGATGACGAGTCTTAAATAGGACGATATATGCATCATGGATCTCATCACTCGTCACCATCAACACACACACACAAAACGATAACATGTTATTTATTATATATTATTATTGTTCCCTTGGGTTCCTAGTGGAACATAGGGCTTCAACTACACGTCTCCACTTGCTTCTGTCTTCTGCTGTACTTTTCACCTGCATCCATGTAAGTCCATACTGTTTCAGCTCCTCTTCACACGATCTCCTCCATGTCACCCTTGGACATGTTAATCCTTAGATATCGTCGAAGCATTCGCACTAGGAGTTGACATATCAACAGAGACAGGATATTTCAGTCCAATGTGGACCAATCAACGGGAAGTAGGAAATTTACCTTAAAACGAATAATAACTGATACATTTTGCTCAAGAGATGGCTGTCATGTCCTGAGTGGTCTAGTAGATAACGCTTAGGAGTTTGAAACGATGGGCACTTTGATTTCTAGTCTCAAAGGGAATGCCATCACTCACTGAAAATTTCAGGTACATCCAGATGATGAGTCATTAACAGGACGAAATGTGCACTCTATACTCCCCTGCTAGTGTACTATCCACTAAATAACATAAAGATAGGATTGTTTTATATTATAAAATGTACACTAACAGTCAGTGGATAATTGATATTACTTTAATTTCAATTTTCCTATCAAGATAAATATGATATTGTTACTTTTCATTAAACACACCAAGAGCACATGACTATTTTTCTATTCAGGCAGTTACTTGGGTTTCTAGTGGGAAGGCATGACCAGTAGGGTACAGCAGATTGAAGGTGGGGCAGTAAGTCATCGAAGAAGACATTGCAAAAAGATCGCGCTATGTCATGAATTGGCAGAAGTTAGAATTCGTGAGTTGGCCATTGGATCGGGTCCGAGTGGCTGAATGGTCTACGAGCTAGCTTGCCTTGTAACCAGAAGGTCCTGGGCTCGAACCCCGTTGGTGGGTGCGTACTTCTGAAGAGCTTCACAGAGCTAGGACGAAACAGCTGTCCAGTACTCCCTGTAGGTTTTCCAATGGTTCCCTAACTGATGTCAGCTCATGATGAAATCCTCCGACTAATTAAACATAAAACCCTACAAACCAATACTTGAATATTTTTTAAACATCTTGTTAGAGAAATTGTTTCAATAGTGGTATGAACAACTGTTCAATGAACTATATTGTAAACTTTCTTCAATATATTTTATCCATATTGATAAATAAAAGAGTGTATCAGATGTCTATGTGTATGTGTGATTTTGGTGTCGTTTATCTGTCCATCTTTCTAAAAGGCGTATAATAATAATAATAATAATAATTCATAATTGAAATGTCTGCTGCTGGCAAACTGCCTCTAATTAATCTACAGAATGTAAAACTGATTTGACCATGTTTGTCTTTTCACCTTCATGACATGGCGAATCCCATAGCACAGAGATGATGTTCATTCAGAGAAGGAAAGAAAGGGAGTGAGAGAGTGAAGAGAACAACAATCAAGCAAAATTTTTCAGTCGTTTAATGTGAAAATAATGAATAAGGAGAAGGGGAGGGGTAGAGAAAAATTTCCTCCATATATATATATATATATATATGTCATTGGTGAACAGTTGACAGTGTGATTCTTCCTATAAAGTATTTCACACTTGAAAAACGAATACAATTCAAAATAAGTATAAATGTATGCATAACAAAAAATAAAAATAATGAGAAAAACCCACTTTAAGTTGATCTTCAGTATTCTTCAATGATTGAACAAGTTCGGCGCCACGTTTAGCTTCTTCAGATAGTTTTTGCAAGAGTTTTGATATATCAGTCTAAATTCATAAAAAAATGAAAAATAAATAAAAAGAAATGATTTTTCCAGTAGAAAGTACATTCTATCATTTCAAATGTTCATATGAAAATATTAGATGGAAAGGGTTTTTGAAATGTATGCATACATCGTTCAATGCTGATATCTGGTGTTATTTTATAGTTGTTAGGTTTCAAGTGTGATGACAAAAACAGTGAAAGTCAGGGAGTACTGGACAATTATTTCGTCCATGCTTGAGACTCTTCAGCACTTATGATCCTACGAGGGATCGAACCGAGTTAGAAGTCAAGCTCATTGGTTGTTCGATCACTGAGACGGAATCCGATGTCCCATTAATTCTAACTTATGTCAATTCGCGATATCTAGTGTTACCGCTAGCCACTGTCATCTGTGAGTATCTGTCCATACATCCCATATGCTGGACTCCACTAGGAATCCAGACAAATTCAATCTGTAGTCAGTCACTAGTTAACTTTCAAATGTTGTAAGGGAACAAAATCAGGATCTGATGAGGTCATGGGTGAATAGTGTTAAAGAGTTTCATACTTGGACAAAGTAGCTTTTCAGTACTGTCAAGTTTTCAGAGGTTTTGTAATTAACCAAGCAGCGAACTTGCAAATACCGCCATATTTTGATAGTTGAAAATATTCCGTAGACTCTCGTATGAGAAGAACTTTACCGGCAGTGTACTGGGAATAGCTCTATTAGAAAGGTAAAATCAATTCAAGCAGTCAAAATCAAGCAAAATACTAACGTAGACTGGCATATGTATAGAGGGTAGACGTTTTAAGTATTCTAGAATAAACTGTATTCCAATAACTCGTTGTTTTTCCCTTTGACAAGAAATTTATTACATTTGATAAGGACTTAACAAAGTTAAATTATGTATCAATTTTAAAATTAACACTCACTTTTCAAATGACAATATTAATTTAAAACAAACAACTGACGTTAATGAACTCAAACTTAGTTGCATGTATCGAGTTGAATACATTTGGGGAAGCAGGTACACCGGGTTGTACGGAAAGGCGACTGTCTGACGGTGTTATATTGTACTTGCTCTACTATTTGAGAAAGTTTTAAGTTAAGATACCAATGAGTTCGATAACGAAGCGTCTCCTGGATTATGGAAATGATCTTGACCTTGTCAAGTCATTTACTTTTACCAGTGGACAAACAAACAGAAAGATGATTGCAATTGAAGAGGCATGTGCAGTTAGGTTCTGTTGTAAACCCGGTTTCTGTGTAGAGAAGGAAATAGTGGTCACCTTGAATTCAGCATGGTGCATACTGATGAAGGGTGCCAAACCGGGACGAAACAGCTATTCAATACTCTTTGGTTTTCAGTGGTTCTCTAACTGATAATTATGTCAAGAACACTTAGTCAACATCAACATGTCAAATAGGGGGTGGGGTAAGATTTAACCAAGAAGATAATTGCAGTAATTAAAGGGTAGAAATATTTGCAAAAATTAAACAAGTGGATTACATAATGCATAATTATGGAGAAATAAGAAAAGTAAGAAGGTGTGCAAGTCAATCATCTTCGTCTTTATCTATAATTATCCTCGTGTATTTAGTTGGCTTTTTTTAAACTTTTAATTCCTAACAATTACTACAGTTATTCTGATATGCACTTTTACTATTCAATCGATTAGAGAGGAAATTAAATCTTTGCATAGAAGTTATGTAATACTTTCGGTTTGATAAGGATATCATCAACAATGCAAAGAAAAAGGAACAAAGAAAACGAGAATGTTTATCGAGTCATTGGATAACTCGCTGCCCTACTGGTGTGGAGATTAAGTTGACCTTTGAACTTTGTGAGATAAGAACAAAATATATGCATAGTCCTGCATTGTAGTTCGCACTTATACTATGTTTCAACTCTTGAAAAATCACAATCCACTTATATTTTCAATAGTTGGTTTGTGAAGATTAGATTTATTTTTACGAGTTGGACCACGGATTGATTTCAATTAGAGAACCATTGAAAACTAGGTAGGAGTATTGGACAACTGTTTCGTCCTAGTTTGTGAATCATCAGCAACACGCATCCACCACTGAGGTTCGAAACCAGGACCTTCCGGTTACAGCGCAAGCTCGTATACCATTCAGCCACTGGGACCTGATTCAGTGGCCACTCCATGAATTCTAACTCCTACCAATTCGTGATGCATTTAGCGCGACCACCAACCAATGGCATCGGTGGGACATCCATCTTCACACTTGACTGGATGGAACTAACTGGTCACTTCAGTAAACTCCGTCCTGGAGTTCTAGTGAGAAGTCAGGACAGTGAATTTCATCCAGTCAAGTGTGAAGATGGATGTCCCACCGATGACATTGGTTGGTGGTCGCGCTAAATGCATCACGAATTGGTAGGAGTTAGAATTCATGGAGTGGCCACTGAATCAGGTCCCAGTGGCTGGATGGTATACGAGCTTGCGCTGTAACCGGAAGGTCCTGGGTTGGGACCCTGTTGGTGGGTGCGTACTTATGAAGAGTCCCAAATTGGGACGAAACAGTTGTCCAATACTCCTACCTAGTTTTCAATGGTTCTCTAACTGATATCAATCCGTGATCAACTCGTAAAATCCACTTATATACAAAACACATGCTGACTGTTAATATCAGACAAGAGGTGAAGGTTAGGCATTGAGAACAAACACATTTCTACGAACTAGTCTTACGAGACATTACGATAATTAATGTGCAATTTATACAGTTCGAGTTAAAATTTCACCACAGTTTCCTTTGGAGAACGAAATTATTCAAAAGCCATAGTGTTGTCTACTTGGTGGTAAATAAATGGCATTTAAGAAGGCAAGTATAATTGAAATATGATAGAGTCTATACACTTCATAAGTTCTCCTTTTTTTTCCCATTTAGATGCTAAGTAGTAAAGTACAGTTAATGTAAGTGTAGAATTTAGGCACTGTGGTAGGAGAGAATTCTATATAAGGTAAGTTTATTTGATACAAGACACAGTGACACATTGTGTTAGTAGTTGGAAGACAATTCAAGAACAACTTATTTCCTATAATCACAACCATATATATTCAAACAACTTCATAATATGCTTTATGTATTTTAACTCCCTGTTGTTGTTTTTTTCATTTCACTAAGGAAGGATAAGGCAAAAGTACTAAAAAGTAATATAGCTAGGCGGAGAGACACAGAGAGAGGTTAATCACCGCATCTTTGTCCATCGAATCAACATCAAACACGTTCAGTCGAAATGGCGACTAACAGTGGAATCCAGGACGCACATTTCGTCCTATTAGGGACCCGTCATCTGGATGTAACTGCATCCTAGTGAGTTTCAATATTCCCACTGAGGCTCGAACCCAATACCCATCGTTTCAAACGCCTGAGAATTATCAGTGAGACCAGTCTGGTCAAATCAGTCAACGGGAAGACAAAAAATCGAATCAAAAATGAATAATAAATGACGCCCATAACACAAAAGGTGGCTGTCGTGGCCCAAATAGTCTAGTGGATAACACTTTGGCGTCTGAAACAATGGGCACTAGGTTCGAGCCTCAGGAGAAATGCCACCACTCATTGGGGAATGCAGGTACATCTAAATGAGTATCAAATAGGACTAAATGCGCATCCTGGAGTCCCTGTTAGTCACCATCCATAAAATTACTTCAAGCTAAATCCTCAGACATTATCAAAGTATCCGCACAAAGAGCCTACGTATCAACACAGACCGGATATTTCTGTCCGGTCAGTCAATGGGAAAATCCAAATTGAATTAAATAAAACCTACTCCGAGTATTATAATAAAAAACAGGGGGACCGGGAGTGAAAAAATATATGAAGCAAGTTATAAAGTAAGTGTGAATACACTGACTTGAAAATAAGCAATAGATGTTGTATTGAAAACGTCATCCAGTTATCAAAACTGTACCACTGTGTGTGCAACAGGAAGTAAACTTATCTAGTGTGGAAGTAAAGTTATATTATTGTTCCCTTGGGTTCCTAGTGGAACATAGGGCTTCAACTGCACGTCTCCACTTGCTTCTGTCTTCTGCTGTACTTTTCACCTGCATCCATGTTAGTCCATACTGTTTCAACTCCTCTTCACACGATCTCCTCCATGTCACCCTCGGACGTCCCACTCGCCACTTCCCTTTCGGGTTCCACTCGAGCTATGGCCTCACGCGCGATGTCACCCAACCGCCTCCTCAGCGAGTGTCCAATCCATCTCCACTTTCTCCTGCATATTTGTTGAGCGATTGGTTCTTGTTTTGTTTCTTCCCATTGTTTCTTAATGGTGATTCTTTCCGGCCATCTGATCTTCAGTATAGAGCCAGCGAAGACAGTTGTTGATAAAGGTCTGCAACAGGCTGTTGGAAATATTCTTTGTGACACACTGGCCAAGTTTCTGATCCATACGTATAGAAGAACTGACTGACTTGACGTCGTTTGTATTGAAAATCCGAATTTTGTTGTTGATGAAGCTGAGTGACGAAGATTTCCAGATTGGTTTCAGGTTGATGAATGTGTTTCTCGCCTTCCCGATTCTCGTCTCGATTTGACATCCTCGTCCGTTCCGACTGCCTGTAGTTGAGACAATGCTCCCTAGATCAGTGAGTGAATGAAGTAACCTCTTTCAAATCCCTCCCGTTGATGGTGATTGGCGCTGGATGTAGCTGTTGTTGTTGTTGTTGGTTGGTTGGTTATTTTCATAACCTCCGTCTTGTCTATGTTCACCTGGAGTCCTGTCTCCACCGGCTGCTTCTTCGACCAGTTTGTCGGTTTTCGCTTGTAGGTCTTCGATTTTGTGTGACATCAAACATAAATCATCCGCGAAATCCAGGTGGAAGTAAAGTACAGTGTTTAAAATTGTTTTAAAATTACTAACATGATGTCGTTATTATTTTTACAAAAATTAAAACTTCTTCAACACTCAGTTGATTGTTTATTAAGCGTAGACATGCAAAAGGTCACACATCATCGTCTAAAAAGACGTGTTGTCACCGGCATCTC